TGGCACCCCTGACCCCCATCTGTCCGCTGCCCCTCCAGGCTGGTCCACTCGGGCTCCGGGCGCCGCTCGCCCGCGCTGGGCTCGGATCTGACGTTCGCCACGCGGACGGGCTCTCGCCAGGGCGTGGAGATGCACGTGTTCCGCGTGGAGACCCACCGGGACCTGTCGGCGTGGACGCGCGTCCTGGTGCAGGGCTGCCACGCCGCCGCCGAGCTGATCAAGGAGGTGACTGTGGGTGAGTGCCGCCGTGCTGGGAGCCCCTGGCTCCCCCGTGCTCCCCTCCAGGGCTGCGGGGGCTGACAGCAGCTGTGCCCGCAGGCTGTACTCTGGCTGGGCAGGAGGTCCAGCTCTCCATCCACTACGAGGGCGGGTTCACCATCTCCCGGGACGTGCCGGGCTCCAGCGTCCTCTTCCGCTACCCCTACGAGCGGCTGAAGATGTCTGCGGACGACGGCATCAGGACCCTCTACCTGGATTTCGGGGGCCCTGAGGGGGAGCTGGTGAGGAGTCAGCCAGGCTCACCCCCTCATTTGGGGGTCTTCCTCCAGGGGACCCCTGCTTGCTCCTGCTTTCCCTCATCCCTGCAGCATCCCAGCTCCCAGACCCACCGGGTTTGGCTGATTGGAACCCCCAGCCCTGCAATCCCCAGTGTCTGCAGTGGGGTGTGGGGCTGACACCGCTCTCCATCTCCCCCCAGGCGCTGGACCTGCACTCCTGCCCCAAGCCCATCGTCTTCATCCTGCACACCTTCCTCTCGGCCAAAGTCACCCGCATGGGGCTGCTGGCATAGGTGCCCCAGCCCCCTCACCCTGTCACGAACCAGCTGGGGGTCACAGAGGGCCCCCCAACCTCTCCTGCCTCATCGGTGCCTTGCTGGGGCTGGGATTGCTGCCCTGAGACCTGCTGGGAATGTGGCAGGATGGCTGTGGGGGAAGAGCCCCTCCTGCCCCACACCAGCACTCCTGGCCCCCCAATGCCCCGGGGGTGTCGGGATACCCACACCAGCTTTAATCCCCCGGGGCTGAAGCCATCACTGATCTCACCGCCTGTGCCTTGGAGCGGGGCCAGCTCGGCCCCCCCTGCCTGGGGGCTTTCCCCAAAGAGGTGACATTGTCCCCACATGGGACAGGGCTGGGGACGTGAGACCCCCCCATTGCTGCATGACAGGGTCTCCACGCCCTGCTCAGGGTGGGGGGACACATTTATCTTACAGGGGGCACTCAGGGGTGCAAAGGGGATGCTCTGGCCCAGGGTCCTGCTCCCTGGGGCTTGGCCTCCTCCCCATGCCCCAGTGTCCCCCAGCAGTGACCCCCAAATGTCCCAAAGGCTGAACAAACGCCGTGTCTGCCCGGGGCTGGGGCTGCAGGGGACCCTCCCGGGGCTGTCCCTCCCCAGCCGCTGCTGCCTGTGCCCCTCCACGGGGGCTCCCCGGGGCAGGACACGTAGATTGATGCACTTTTCGCTTTTTGTACTTTCCCTCCCCTTGGGGGCAGCTCCCACACCCTGGGGGCTGGGGGGCCCAGGTGGGGCCAGAGTGTGACCCCCAGGGCTCCCCCCACTCCTGCCGGGACCCCAATACCCCCCAGCCAAACTCCTGCACGGTTCTCTGCCTCTGGGGGGGCCGTGCTGGCTGGGGGTGCCGTGGGGTGCTGCCCCCCGTCCTTCTATTTTTGTATTCTTTGTAAATCGCTATTTATATCAGATTGCCTTTTCCAGGGACTCTGGGTCTCACTGAGTCTGGCGTGGGGATGGTGGGAGGAATCTCTGGGGAAGCTGGGGAGACTGGGGGCATCTCTTGGGGTGATGGAGGGACTGGGGGG